TATAAATAATACTTATAGTTTATATATATATATACTCCCTCCTTCCCGGTCCAAAGAGGTCTTTTGAAATTTTCCACATAATCTATAAAATTGAAAAATTTATTACATATTATATTAAAAACTAAATCAATTTTGAAAAAAAAAAATACGTATACAATATGAAAAAAAAAAATTGATTAGTAAAAAAATACATTAAATAATTTTAAAAAATGCATGCATTGTATTATGTTTTGCTTCTTCGATCTTTTTGCGGTTTTTTTTTTCTTATTTTTCTTCTACATGAATATTAGAATTGATTAGTAGAAACTAAAAAAAATACATAAAAATACGAATAATATAATCAATATAATACGATGTTAATTTATGCAAAATCAAGTTTAAAATTTTTTAAACTAAACAAAAAAAATTATTGTAAGAATTTTACTAAATATATTAATAAAAAAACACATTCCCCTTGCAATAATACAAAGAAAGATAACAAATTATATTTTCAAATAAAATATGAAAGAAATACGATAAATTTTAATATGAAAAAGCTTTTAAGATAAAGAAAAAATTACGGGTTAGCCAGACCAAAGAAAAAATCTATTATGATAAATTGTATATAAGAGTCCTTCAAGAATGTCTGTAAACACGCCTCAATCACCACTATATAAACAAAAAAAAAACCATAAACTTAAAAAAAATTAAGATCAAGAAAACGAACTAAAAATGTGTTATGCAAAATTATAGTCGAACTACAAACATCCGATTGCAAATCCGTTAGATTGAAAGAGCACAGAATAATGAACACTGGTTGAAAAGTTTTCTAGAATAAAATAAAATATTAGTATAAATAAAAAAAATAAGTATATGATTTTTAAAAAACAAAACCAAAAATTTTAAAATCGAACAATTTATAGAATTAAAAGTGTAGTATATATATATATAGATAATAAAATCCTAATTTTATCCCTAATTTTGCTATTTATTATCTAATAATCTTAATTTTATTGGATTATCAGTTATTCTAACAATTATCAAAACTTAATATTAAAAAAATAAATAAATAAAACTATAAAATTATGAAAACACGGGAATTAAAGTGTCTTATCAAATATATATACTAGCTTGTAACTCGTGCTATGTACGGGTGTTTTAATATTAAATAATGTATTATATAATTTAAATCTTTATTAACGCTATTTACTTTTTTTTTGAAATATAAAAAATAACTAATGTAAAAAATTATATATTCCCTCCTTACCACAAAATTAAAATTCATGTTCCCAAAAAAATTTACAAATAATATTTTATATTTTTATAAATCTTATTTATAGATAAAAAAAAAAAAAAAAAAAAAAAAGAGAGTTTTATATTAAATTCTTACATGAGACAATCAATTTATAACAAATTTATCTTTAAAATATTAAAAATAAATATAAATAAATTTGAATTGAGAGGATGGTTTGCTATAAAATATTATCCATAAAAATTCATATATTTTTAAATTAAAAAATACTATATATTTTTCTAGAAAAAATAATATGTATCCATAATTAAATAGTAAGTTTTTAAATTCAGAAAATTTGTTAAAATTATGGTGGAACAAAACATCATAATTATTTATATGATTCACATTTATATATTATAAATATATTTTATTATTGAAAGCAATGTAATATAAAATATAATTTTACAAACAATAATTAGCATAACTCACTTTTATCAAAATAATTAAGTACATATAACTCTCTTTTTTAAATTTAATTTTGCCCAAATTATCATACATTTATTCGTAGAATATATATATAATTCCAAAATTTTATATATTCCAAATTCGATTTTAAATTTAAAATTATTTTTTAAAAAAATATAAAGTAATACTCTCTTCGTCTCATATCTATTTATCCGTTTGTTTTTTGCACGTAGTCTTAGAAATATTAATATTATATTATAATATAATATAAATAAAGATAAAAAGATTAAACTAATCTTATTAATATTTTATGATATAAAAGTAGTGACATTTGTGTAATATATTGTAAATTGAAAGAGTATTTGTAATGTTAGGTAAACTGTACCATTACTAAAAAGATAAACGAATACTTTGTTTTGAAATAGATCAAAATAAAAAAACAGATAGTTTGTTAAAAGAAGGATGAAGTATAAAATTTTTTTTTTTAAAAAAAAAGAAAAAATATGAGTTTCAAATTTAATTTCAAATCTCAGATGATAAAAATAATGTAATATAAACAAATTGAAAAAAAAAAGAAAAAATATGTGACCTGTCGCGCGATCAATCAAATATTTCACCTACTCCGTGATCACAATTTAATGTAATATAGGGGAAGAGATCGTCTCCACAGGGATTGTGTGATTCACTCTTTCGTATTCTAATGCAGTAAATAAAAGGGATTTTTTTTTATTATCTAATTAAAATAAAAAAAAAACAAAGCAATTAAATTAATTCTTATTAAAGTATCAATAAATTGGTTATAGTTATCAACAAGCTCTGACAACCAATTTTTCCTTACGGTGTAGGTAATTAAGGTACGACCGTTAACTACCCCTAATTAAGCAAATAAACCTAGGTGTGTCCATAAGAATATTGCCTAACCGCATTCCAATCTAGAAAAACCCAATTCAAAACAATTACTATCTAAGAGAAGCAATTAGATTTGATTGTCTAACCCCCGGGAAGGAACTATTCAACTCAGTTGTCACCTATTCAAGTACGAATACAATTACGGATATCCTACTTGAATTGACTTTAGATTATCAGACTAATTTAAATATTGGTACCAAAATATTCAATCAATCTAACAATCATAAACGCTATTATTAGAATTAGACAAATATTGATAATCAAAAAGAACTTTTATAAAGAAAATCAAGAATCTCCAAAACAAAAGAACCAAAACATTATCACCCCTCAAACCAGAAAAGTATCTACTCCATAATTAAATAACAAAGAACAAAAGAGAAAGATGAAGTCATAGTGGGAGGGGGAAATCTTCTCTGTCGATTTGCTCCTGCGCGATCTATGAATCTGTCAGTCTCCTGCTCATGTGCGTTTGTGCCCTAGCCGTCCTCTCCTTTGAAACGTGTGATCCCTCCTTTCATTTAATGTTTGCCCTAATTATTTTGTAGATGGGCTTTTGGGTCTTTAATTAATTTTATTTTATTTTATTTTTTTGTCAATTATGCCAAATTTAATATTTGCCCTCTGCACACAGCAAATAAAAAATTCGAATATAAATTTGGTAGAATCCAATCAAAATCACCCAATTATCGCATATGATATGAATATAAAACGCATGCGATTTGTAACTATCAATTCTCCCCACACCTAGATCATGCTTGCCCTCAAGCATAAATTCGAAATAAGCCAAAGAAATCGCAGGCAACTCGGTATGACAAGAGGGTCCAACACAACCAATTCAATCCGAATTTTAATACATCAAGCCAAGTCAACCTCACAAGATAAAGTGTATTCTCACATGCTCTCTGAAAGAATTAAGTGTATAATTGGATCAACACTCAGGTAGTGCAACAAAAGATTATTCTATAGGCTTGAGTAAAAATCAAATCTCCCTTGCTTAAAATATTCGAATCTAGCATAAAGAATCAAAGGGACTTTCAATAAGGGTTGTAATGGGGCTTATGGTCAGGGTAGGAAAAAGGATATACAAGGGCTAAAATATGTCAGAAACAAAAACACAATAAGAACACGATGCTAGCACATGAAGAACAAATCGGCATAAATAATCAAATCCTTACTCTATTCACCACCCAAACTTTAATAATGAAAATAAATGAAAATACTTTATTAAGATAATTATTTATTTTTATTTTTTTATTATTATTATTTTTTTTCGTTTTTTTTTATTTCTTTTTTTTTGATTTTTTGATTTTTTGAATTTTTTTTTTTTTTTTTGGCTTTTGCCTATATATATATACCTACACTACCCACAATTATTCCTTCATACTATGACTTATTCGTACCCAAATTTCGTTTCTAACTAGTGCCGAAGAAATAAAGTGCATCACAACATGGACTTAAAGTAATTCTTTCTAACATAGGGTTCAAATCGGAGAAGGCTCAATCGAAAAAAGGGTATGAGGCTAAAAAAAACAGTTTATTATAAAAGAAAAAATAGGCTAAGAAGGCTTAAATGGGCTAACTAGGAGAATATATTGTGCTGGGTAATAAAGAAAGGCATAATGGGTTACCTAATGCCCTTATCATTTTCAAAACGCAAGACCCGATAGTTGCAAGTTCAACATGCATAATCACTCAAGTTCTAGGTCATCTAATTGAGCACTACAAATCACACATGAAAAATTTTTTTCCAAAAGCCTGAATATATGCAATTTATTTTCTACTGTAACTTTGGAACATAGGCTCAAATTCTCACAGGGTTCAAACGTCGACTTGACTCAACATATCACCAATCAAATCTCATTAGTCATGCCAAACTAACCTATCACACAAACCACCTTTGACTCACTTCAGACAAATCTCAAAAACATGCGAAAGGACAGCAAATTAGGTATAAAAAGTAGCAAAAAAATTGAAAATTTTGCCCAAAAATTTGCATAACTCTCCCCACACCTAAAGTATGCATTGTCCTCAATGTAAAGAAAGCAATAAAATAAGAGAGGAACTTCCCTGGAGTCCATAGGGGGTGTAGTAGTTGGGAACTTTGTTAACACTTCTTCATTTGATCGTGATTTTTAGGGAGGCTTGAAGTTCTCCTGAGTCCTGCGAAAACAACTAACCAACGCAAGCCATTTAGAGGAGCGGATGTGGTGATCGGTGATGACTGAGCAGGGAAGGAAGAAGTCGACGGCGCCGGAGGTTGGAGGCGGCGACTAAACCAAACAAAACTATCAAAAGTGTTATTAGCAATTAAATAATAAAAATATATAAAATTAAAGAAAGCAATTAAATGATTTTGGGTTGTCTCCCAAAAAGCGCTTTTCTTTATAGTCTTTGAGCTAGACTTTGTTGCGTCTCAGTCCTCAACTTCGATATCGGCGAGAGACACCAACTCTACAGATTCAAGTGGGAATCCCTCGTAATATGACTTAAGACGATGTCCATTGACCACAAACTTTTTCTCCGTCCATAAGCTCTGAATCTCCACTGCACCATAAGGAAAAAGTTTAGTAACGATAAAGGGCCCTATCCACCTAGAGCGCAGCTTTCCAGGGAAAAGCTTAAGACGAGAGTGATATAATAAGACTTTCTGTCCTATCTCAAAAATTTTTCTGGAGATGTGATGATCATGAAAGGCTTTTGTCTTTTCCTTGTAGAGTATCGTATTCTCGTATGCCTCTTGTCGAATCTCCTCTAGCTCTTGAATTTGCATTTTTCGATGGGCTCCGGCTTCTTGAAGATTCATATTGCACTTTTTCACTGCCCAAAATGCCTTGTGTTGAATTTCCACAGGTAAATGGCAAGGTTTTCCATACACCAATCGAAATGGTGACATCCCTATTGGTGTCTTGTATGCTGTTCGATATGCCCACAGAGCATCATCGAGTCTCGAGCTCCAATCTTTTCTGTTCGGTTGAACTGTTTTCTCCAAGATAGACTTGACTTCGCGGTTGGAGATTTCAGCTTGTCCATTCGTTTGAGGATGATATGAGGTTGACACCTTGTGAAGCACTCCATATTTTCGAAAAAGTGCAGCCACGGTTTTGTTGCAAAAGTGAGTCCTTCTGTCACTCACAATTGCCTTTGGCACTCCAAATCGAGAGAAGATATATGACTTAATGAATTCTGCAGCCACCTTAGAATCATTAGTTTGGGTGGCTCTTGCTTCCACCCATTTTGAGACATAATCAACAGCCAAGATAATATATAAGCATCCATATGAATTAGGAAAAGGTCCCATAAAATCTATACCCCACACATCAAATATTTCGACAAACATCATAGGCGATTGAGGCATTTGATTACGAGAAAAGAGGTTACCTGTTCGTTGACATCTATCACAAGACTTACAAAACTCAAATGCGTCCTTGAAGAGAGTAGGCCAGTAAAGTCCACTATCCAACACCTTCCTAGCTGTCTTCTTGGATCCAAAGTGTCCACCACATGCCATAGAGTGACAAAAGGTCAAAACAGAATGAAATTCACTTTCATTAACGCACTTTCGAATGATCTGATCAGAGCACCACTTCCAAAGGTAGGGGTCATCCCAAATGTAGTATTTTGCATCACTGCGGAGCTTATCCCTTTTTGCCTTTGCCCAACCTGTAGGAAACTCGTTAGTGACTAAGTAATTAACAATATCAGCATACCAAGGGTGTGTAGTCGCAATAGAGAGAAGTTGTTCGTCAGGAAATGACTCTCGAACAGGAACTGCATCTGACTCCACGGGTATACGACTCAAGTGGTCAGCTACCAAATTTTCAGTTCCTTTCTTGTCGCGAATCTCTATGTCAAACTCTTGCAGAAGGAGTACCCATCGAATTAATCGAGGTTTGGCTTCCTTCTTTGCCATCAAGTAACGCAGAGCTGCATGGTCAGAGTACACTAACACCTTAGTGCCTAAAAGATAAGATCTAAATTTATCAAGAGCAAAAACAATAGCAAGCATCTCTTTCTCCGTGGTGGAGTAATTTAATTGAGCGCCATTCAGTGCTCGCGAAGCATAGTAGATGACATGAGAGGCTCTCCCAACTCGTTGCCCTAGAACGGCTCCCACTGCATTATCGCTTGCGTCACACATCAACTCGAATGGCAAGTCCCAATTCGGAGGTTGAATAATCGGTGGTGTTGTGAGGCGCTCTTTCAGTGCTCCAAATGCCTTCTTGCAATCGTCATTGAACTCAAATGCTACATCTTTCTGCAGGAGGTGAAACAATGGTGCTCCAATTTTGGAGAAGTCCTTGATGAAGCGCCGGTAGAAACCTGCATGTCCTAAAAAACCACGTAGCTCTCGCACAGAAGTAGGGTAAGGTAAAGCAGTGATTAGCTCAACTTTAGATTTATCTACTTCTATACCCTCATGTGACACCTTATGGCCTAAAACAATTCCTTGCTGAACCATCAGTTGACATTTCTCCCAATTGAGCACAAGGTTAGTTTCGATGCATCGTTTCAAGATTAAAGTCAAATTACCTAGACAATCATCAAAACTAAAGCCATATACACTAAAGTCATCCATAAAAACTTCAATGATTCGCTCAATATATTCAGAGAAAATACTTACCATACATCTTTGGAATGTAGCAGGAGCGTTACACAAACCAAAAGGCATCCTTCTGTAGGCGAAAACTCCAAACGGACAAGTGAATGATGTTTTCTCCTGATCCTCGGGTGCTATCGCTATCTGAAAATAACCTGAAAATCCATCTAAAAAGCAGTGATATGCGCGACCAGCGAGTCGTTCAATCATTTGATCAATATAAGGGAGAGGAAAATGATCCTTTTTTGTTACCGCATTCAGCTTACGGTAATCTATGCATTGGCGCCATCCAGCTTGTTTTCGAACCGGGAGCTTTTCTCCTTCTCGAGTCTCTTCCACCGTTACTCCGGCTTTCTTGGGAACCACTTGAACCGGACTCACCCACCTACTATCGGAGATAGGGTAGATGATACCAGCTTCGAGAAGCTTTAACACTTCTTTCTTGACTACCTCAGTCATAATCGGGTTCAACTTCCTTTGAGCTTGTCTCACTGGTTTTGAATCCTCCTCGAGTGTGATCCTATAAGTACAAAACGAGGGATCAATACCTTTTATGTCAGCGATCGTCCATCCAATGGCGGTCTTGTGATCTTTTAAAACCTTAATCAATTTCTCTTCTTGTTCTGGTGTCAATTTTGCAGAGATGATTACCGGTAGAGTGTTCTTCTCTCCCAAATAAGCGTATTTTAGAGTTTCAGGTAAAGGCTTCAATTCCAATTCAGGTGCCTGCGTCAAAGATGGTAATAAACATTGCTTAGACTCATGTAAGAATATTGGAGCTAATTCATACCTTGGTGACACTCTTGGAGTTGAGTTAAGCTCCTTGAGAACTTTTCTTATTCTCTTGTCTACGGCTATCTCTCTCTCATGTTCTTTCTCTAGATGTTCCATTAACACGATCTTCAATTCATCGGAACCACTTAATCCAAATGCGTCCTGCACCAAGGGATCAATGATATCAATTGCATATAATGTTTCAGAATCAATAGGATGTTTCATAGCATCAAAAATATTGAAATGGACTTCTTCTCCATCAAATTCCAAAGCGAGAGTGCCCTTCCGTACATCAATTTTTGCTCCTGCAGTGCACATAAAAGGTCTTCCTAACAAAAGAGGCGGTGGATTAAAGCAGTGTGCATCATGCATATCCAGAATATAAAAATCAACAGGGAAAATTAAGTCATTAACTTGAACTAGCACGTCTTCTATCATACCATCAGGGTAAGCATTGGTTCGATCAGTAAGTTGAATAATAATTCCTGTTTCTTTTAAAGGCCCTAGATTTAAAGAATCGTATATTGATCGAGGCATGACATTAATAGCAGCTCCTAAATCTAGCATAGCCTTAGTTATCTCAGTTTTTCCAATCTTACAAGGGATAGAAAACATACCTGGATCACCTGTTTTGGGTGGTACCTTTCTTTTGAGAACAGCAGAAACGTTCTCACCCGCTATAATATGCTCGTCCCCTCGCAATTTCCTTTTGTTAGTGCACAGTTCTTTCAAAAACTTTGCGTACTTGGGGATTTGGTTTATAGCCTCCAGGAGCGGAATATTAAGTTCTACCTTCTTGAATATTTCCATCATCTCTTTTCGTTTGTTTGTCTTTTGTGGTTTCTTCAACCTGTCAGGAAAATGAGCTGATTTAGTTTCAGTAAGAGGAACAGAGTCAGGAAGTACCTTTTCGTGAAGTTCAGCTTCTTTTTCGATCTCCATCTCAATCTGATCCTCATTCCGTTCCCTTGAGATATGAGGTGGACCTTCCAATTCCTTTCCGCTACGAAGAGTTATAGCACTCGTATTCCTTGGATTAGGCCAGGAGGAACATTCAATCATCGTATCACTGCAGATAGTGATGGCGCTGACATTTGCTGGATTTGGCTCAGGCTGAGCAGGCCACTTTCCTCTTTCACGTAGTTGTTTCACCTCCTCTGACACTTGATTGATCTGACCTTGTAATTTGTCGACAGTTGACTTCATCTCTTGCTGGAATTGCAGGGTACTGGTAGCCATAGACTTCACCAAGTCTTCCAAAGATGGACTGGAGTTGCTTGTGGGTGCTTGAGGCGGCTGTTTTTCATAGAAACGAGGTTGTTGCATCTGCTGCATAGCTCCAAATGGTTGATGAGCATTACCCCGCTGTGCGTTTCCATAACGCAAGTTCGGATGATCTCTCCAGCCTGGATTGTAGGTGTTGGAGTATGGATTGTACGCTGAAGGTCTATTCATACCGTAGTTTGCAGTGTTCACATCCACTGCACATTCTTCTTGGAGGGTCGGCCAAGCATCTGTAGGGTGTCCTGCACTCGTGCATATTCCACACACCTTGACTTGGACACTCGGGTTGGATTCTTCCACGACCATCTTGCGAATGAAGCTCGTCAACTCAGAAAGTTGTTGTTGCATCGATTGGATGGCATGGTCACTGTTGTTTCCGCTTATCTGTCCAACATCTCTTGAACCAAATTGCTGCGTATTTTCAGCCATCCTCGCAATAAGATCCCAAGCTTGTGCCGGCGTCTTATTCACTAAAGCTCCACCACTTGCAGCATCGATAATGTTCCTGTCCATCAATGATAAACTATCATAAAAGTATTGAATCAATAATTGAGGGGGAATTTGATGTTGTGGACATTTAATGATAAGCTTATTGAATCGCTCCCAATATTCATGGAGCGTTTCACCTGATTGTTGTTTGATACCACATATCTCCTTCCTCAGGATCGCAGCTCTGGAAGCTGGAAAGTACTTCTCCAAAAATTTCTTTTTCATGTCGTTCCACGTGTCGATGCTTCCAGGTGGGAGATAGTAGAGCCAATCCTTTGCAGCATCTTTGAGCGAGAATGGGAAGGCTCTGAGTTTGATCTGTTCGTCAGTAACACCTGGTGGTTTCATGCTGGAGCACACCACGTCGAACTCTTGCAAGTGTTTATGAGGTTCTTCACCTGCAAGTCTATGAAAAGAAGGCAACAAATGAATTAATCCAGATTTCAGTTCAAAAGCAACAGCGTTATTCAGAGTTGGAAAGTTAATGCATAAGGGCTGCTGCGCCAAGTTGGGAGCAGCCAACTCCCTTAGAGTGCGGGTATCTTCAGCCATGACAGTCTCTTGATCACTTTCAGAGTCGCTAGAGCTAGAGATTTTGAGGTGGTTTAAAGATTCTGCCAGCTTCGCAACCTGAACAGCTTTTCGTTGCTTGGCTTCCTTTCGTAGCTTTCGCTCAACCTTCTCGATCTCAAGATTAAATATCAGTTCACCTGTACGAGAAGAACGGGGCATAAACAGGAGGATAAATTAAAATAACACAAAAAAGTAAAACAAAGCGCCAATCCCCGGCAACGGCGCCAAAAATTGACCTGTCGCGTGGTCAATCAAATATTTCACCTACTCCGTGATCACAATTTAATGTAATATAGAGGAAGGGATCGTCTCCACAGGGATTGTGTGATTCACTCTTTCGTGTTCTAATGCAGTAAACAAAAGGGATTTTTCTTTTATTATCTAATTAAAATAAAAAAACAAAGCAATTAAATTAAAGGGGAACTGACTATCAATGGGATGTCTGGCTCAAGGGATGATGCAGTTATGGCACTTGTGTTCTATCATTAATTCAATTAAATTAATTCTTATTAAAGTATCAATAAATTGGTTATAGTTATCAACAAGCTCTGACAACCAATTTTTCCTTACGGTGTAGGTAATTAAGGTACGACCGTTAACTACCCCTAATTAAGCAAATAAACCTAGGTGTGCCCATAACAATATTGCCTAACCGCATTCCAATCTAGAAAAACCCAATTCAAAACAATTACTATCTAAGAGAAGCAATTAGATTTGATTGTCTAACCCCCGGGAAGGAACTATTCAACTCAGTTGTCACCTATTCAAGTGCGAATACAATTACGGATATCCTACTTGAATTAACTTTAGATTATCAGACTAATTTAAATATTGGTACCAAAATATTCAATCAATCTAACAATCATAAACGCTATTATCAGAATTAGACAAATATTGATAATCAAAAAGAACTTTTATAAAGAAAATCAAGAATCTCCAAAACAAAAGAACCAAAACATTATCACCCCTCAAACCAGAAAAGTATCTACTCCATAATTAAATAACAAAGAACAAAAGAGAAAGATGAAGTCATAGTGGGAGGGGGAAATCTTCTCTGTCGATTTGCTCCTGCGCGATCTATGAATCTGTCAGTCTCCTACTCCTGTGCGTTTGTGCCCTAGCCGTCCTCTCCTTTGAAACGTGTGATCCCTCCTTTTATTTAATGTTTGCCCTAATTATTTTGTAGATGGGCTTTTGGGTCTTTAATTTATTTTATTTTATTTTATTTTTTTGCCAATTATACCAAATTTAATATTTGCCCTCTGCACACAGCAAATAAACAATTCGCATATAAATTAGGTAGAATCCAATCAAAATCACCCAATTATCGCATATGATATGAATATAAAACGCATGCGATTTCTAACTATCAATATAGGACAAAAAGGAAAAGAAAAAATAAATTTAAAAATAATAAGACAAATAAAAAAATAAACTTATACTTGTAAATGAGAACACAGAGTTAAAACAAAAGTTTAAAACTCAATACTCCCAAAAGATATGCAAATAATAATATTATAATTTTTGTATGATTAAAACTTTTTACACCCCGGCCCGTAAGCCATGCGAAACCGAACATGTCGGGATTGTAGTAGACTAATCACACAAGTCAACATGAATATGACTCTCGAAAAGAAAAGTGCACATTGTTGATATGAGTAGTTTATTCAATCCATTTAATTACTATTCAACCTCGGGGGTATTTCATCATCCCCGACTCATATCACTATTCAACTCCGGAGGTATTACATCCTCCATAACTTAAGAATGCAACGTCCACGTTGCACCCCAATGATCTATCAACTGCTAGGCCCGTCAACAATTCGGTAAACGAATGTGGGCTCTCGTAGGTCGACTTTGATGCCAATATATATAACACCCCAAATAAATAAATAAATATATATTTTGAAGTATCACACGCCAACACCAGAACAACATCATGTACAATAATAATAATAATAATAATAATAATAATAATAATAATAATAATAATAAAAAAAAAAAAAACATGACGTGCCCATATGCTAAGGCTAAAATATCATAATAGTGATTGTAAATATTTTTCTTTTCAAAAATTTTAAAATATATTTTTCAACACCCTTAAGCATTTCAAAAACATGTAATCGTGAGGAGTCTTTACATGTATTAAAACTCTCAATGCATCTCAAAAGTAGGAATTTCAAAATAGGGAGTATGAAAAAATCATAAGTTCGGACATTATTAGGAAAAAATCATGCATGCTCGATAAAGTCTCATCCCTATGATGCATCAAGTGAATGAAGGTTCGGAAATCAACTCTGCATGGAAAAGGGTAGTAAACATTAGCTAAAGCTGAGTAAGGATTTAAATATGCAATGCACGAAATAATTTACCAGCAATAAATGATAGTCATACAACAACTACAACTTGCTAAAATCCATATCTCAAAACACATAAGCCGACTTGTCAATCAACAGCTAAGCCTAGCCAAATTCATGACTTAAAAAATAATGAATCGACTTTTCAATCAACAACTAAGTTTAGCAAAATTCACAGCATACACAAATTAATAAATCGACTTGCCAATTTACGGCTAAGTCCAGCCAAATCAACGGTATACATAAATTAATAACTGACTTGTCAATCAACGGCTAAATCTAGCCAAATTCACGGCATACACAAATTGATAATCAAGTTGTCAATCAACGGCTAATTCTAGCCAAATCCACGGCATACACAAATTGATAATCGATTTGTCAATCAATGGCTAAGTCTAGCCAAATCCACGGCATACACAAATTGATAATCAAGTTGTCAATCAACGGCTAATTCTAGCCAAATCCACGGCATACACAAATTGATAATCGATTTGTCAATCAATGGCTAAGTCTAGCCAAATCCACGGCATACACAAATTGATAATCGACTTGTCAATCAACGACTAAGTTTAGCCAAATCCACAACATACACAACTTGATAATCGACTTACCAATCAATAGCTAGGTCTAGCCAAATCCAAAGCATACATAATTTAATAATCAACTTGTCAATCAACAGCTAAGTCTAGCTAAATCCATGTCCTACAAAAATTATGAATTCTTAATAGCAAATTCACCACTTATTACATAAGATGATATGATTATAATAGTCTATTTAACTAAGACACGTAGTTAGATGGCCAATCATTTCAAATATGAATAATTTAACCCCTTACCTTACTTAGGGGAAACTACCCAACTCTACTACCACCGACTCGTGGGACTTGATTCGGTAGGACTTCACCTAATCATCAAATTCAATCAATTAACTTACTCAAATTTAACGCTAAAATTCACCATATATTCGTCGTTGGCTCAAATATTATGAAATTAGTGTCAAATCAAAGCTAATAAGTTATATTTCAAAGAACAAAAATTTAATTATTAATTTTAATTACAGAATGCCATCTTAACTCAGATAGTCTGTTCATATCGGAAAAACAAAGCAGTTGTATTAAATCACTAAAAATTCATTTTACACTCAAATGGGACAAACTTTGTCTCTAATGAAAGATAACACATATATCTATATTTTAAAGTAAACAAAAACACAAAAAAAAGTTCCACAAAGAACATAATAGAAGTTACATATACTGAACAGATCATTCGTCAATAAATAGGGTGTGTAGCTTTAAAAATTTATATAAAATTCATTTTATATCCAAATGGAACAAAATTGGTCTCTAATTAAATTTAACATAAATATCTACATTTAACATGAATCGAAATTTTGAAAATAGCATCAAAAGTTACAGAAAATCCAGCGAGCACTTTGTAATATTTTTCCGTCAAGAAAATGAGTGTATAACTTTAGAAAATCATATAAAATTCATTTGTCTTTCAAATAACTCATGTAACATGTCAGAAATAATAATACAAACATGAATAATATGAATATCGTATTAAAACAGTAACTACCTGATTTAAATAAACGAAATAACTTAAAACAATGCACACATGTTGTGAAATTGAATTCCAAGAGTAAAGAATAAGAAGGTATAAAACTTACTTCAAAATCACCTCAACCTGAGTGGGAAAGAAGGGGGTGACGGCTAGGGTTTGTTTAGGAGTGTTTAGGAATGAAATAAAGGTTAAATTTAAGGGATATAATAATATTTTGTGTTTAAAAGTGGAGTTAAAGTGCATTGACGTTTTCTAAAATCATATTTGAATATACAGCTAACCTTTGAATACTATTTTGGCCATAACTTTTTCATTTCAACTCGGATTGACTCACCCTTTGCGGCATTCGAAAGATAAATTAAAATTCTATCCAATGATAAAAATTTCATAGAAATCAGACATTAATTATAAAATATAAAGCCGTTTGAAGTTTACATATTGATAATAACAACTTTAAGATATTTATTTAATATAACTTAAAATTCTATCCACTCCTCTAATCCACTACGATAAAAAAGAAAAAAAGAAAAAAAGAAAAAAAAAAGAAGAAAAGTAATCAACAACAACATAACAGTCGCTCATGGTCTCCCAACTAATAAAATGATTTGTTCCCAAACTTCGGGATTCAATACCTCATCATCAACAAGGAGTCAAACAACGATATTCATAAGAGCATCAATATGTCCCATCTAAATTCATATCAATAATTCAAACGTTATCAAATCACAAAACATGACATATAATCACAAGGTGTATCTCTTTGTGCGCGCTTCTATCCACATAGGGACACTACAAAAAAATATCAATTTTGTAACAAGATTTTTTCGTTGTTAAATCCAATATTTCCGTTACTAATGATATTAGAGACGGAATTTGAGATGGAATTACGTTAGCTACGTGAACTTTAGTAACGGAATTCCGTTACAAATATACTATTTTTTTTTGTAGTGGGAAGCACGCTTAAATTTAAAGTTCTTTCATTAGTATTTCCGAAAATAAATATGCACATTGTTGATAGAGTAGTCTATTCAATCTATTTAACCTCTTATTCAACCTCGGGGTATTTCATCATCCCCGACTCATATCACTATTCAACTCTGGGGTATTACAAAACTAAAGATAAATTTTATTTATAGATAAAAAAAAAGAAAGAGAATTTGTAAATTAAATTTTATGTGGGACAATCAATATATAACAAAATTATATTTAAAATACTAATACTTATCCATTATTAAATAG